TGTTTTTACTAAATCGAGGGAGGAGCGGGTCTCGTGCTGAAATTCACACTTTGCACGCGCATTCTAGGTTTATGATGGTGTGGTCAGTAAGATATCAACGAGTGGAGAAATCAAGCAATTGACTGTAATTACGATAGAGGGGGTTCATGAGATCTCAAATGATTGTTCTGAGATTGTACCGGTTAAAAGTTGCACTTCAATCCGCAAACGCGCCACCAGGTCGTTGCTGATTTATTAAGGAAACGAGTTACTACGAATCCTCCTGACTTCCTTTTTAAAGCGTTAAAAGGCAAAATCATCATAAATAGATATTGGTCACTTGAGTGGCAGAAGACAGGAAGTGTGAAGTGCTCCCGTAAATACGATTAAATTTACGAAAAATTTGTTCGGCCTGAGCCGAAAAAGCCAGCTAAACGATGAGTTTGAGGTCATATGTCTCTCTGATATCTCCGAGTATCCTCATATTTCATCCTACAGAAGTGATTCTCACATGCATTTCTACTGTCAATTAAATGTACGTTTTTACTACCCCTAACATTATTTTTTGCACCTCACTTACGTACGCCGGCGACCAAGTCGGAGTTTGCACGTGTATTAGTTCTAGCTGAAAGATAGAACGTTCAGGAGTTTATGAATCAACAGACAAACTTTGTGTATTTATGAGACCTTTAGAACATATTACAACGGAAAACAAAAAACATTAAAACAAAACGACCGCACGTTTTAAGAGATGGATGTTTTATCGCTTATCGAGTCGTCTGTCCTCGATGTACTTCTACATATTGTCAAGGTTTCAACAGCAAAAAGAACACACTCAATAACATTAGAAGAAAAGTCAAACCTTTTGCGGTCATACGCTTTCCGACCGCAAAAATTTGGTATGCACTTGACTTTTACTCAATATTTTTATAGCACAGGTGACTTTATTTTTATCAATTGTGTATGAGAATGTACTAAGAAACGAGTTTGTAACAAAAAGGTAACTTTATTATTATGTTTTATACCGAAGAGCAATCTTTTATGAAAATCCTCGTGTCTTTTGCAACCAAGCCAAAGTTGACTACCTCATTTCCAAATTCTGTAAACAATTCAGGGTTTGCAGAAACGCTTTTAAAACGGTATTTCCTTGAATTATTATTACACTTAGGTTGCAACATCGAAAGCAATTGCCTTTGGAGACGTAGAGATCAGAATGTCAACAAACTTACTCTCCTTCAAGACCTCAGAGAAGGTATGTGCTTTAAACGTAGTATGTTAGTCTGTTAATGTTGCATGTTACGCCTTCAGTAGCTTAAGCGATCATCATAGTGTTGCCTCCTTAGTTGTCAGGACGAAATTTAGACAGGCACTGGCCGTTCGTCGGATTTTGAAATGATATGGCACAAATTGGCCTACCAAATCTTTTTTCACGACTGCCCTAGCATTAAATTTAACTACAAGAATCTGGCAAATTTTTTCTTTGCTTTATTAGTTAAGTTGTCTTATTTAACAGGCAGTGCTTCTTGTCCTTTCTAATTTCCGGAGAAGCCGACTTCAGTTTTTGGCTATCATTTGTTAGTATTAAAAGATAATCAAAGGCATGAATGTCTGTTAGTGAAGTGCGCCGTCACATTGTCAAGATCATGCAATTTACTAGGATGTTTAAACCGCTTTTGCTTGAGTCAAACACAAAGCTGGCGTGACAGTTAAAATGGTCATTTTGTATACAGAAGATAACCAATTGTGATGAACTGCCGCATGCTATAAACATGTCAGATGTATCAAGTACATAATGGTTAGACTGTTGTGCAGATCCTCTCTAATTAAACAGCAACAAGACCATATGGAATAGCATGTTGTCCAAAACGTTCTTAACCTGGGACTATCAAAGCAGGTTTTGACAATATACAGGGAATTATAAATTATCCTGGAGAACGAGCCTTTCTTGCGGTAAGGCATGCCGGGGCAGGCCCATGAAACTCTCTTAACAGAACTTTATTCACTTGCTCTGTCAGTGCACTTTTCCAAAAAAATTACAATACCATGGAGAAGAAATATCGTCAGGTTTTCTATTATATATATATATTTACGGATTCCGTTCATTATAAATAAAACTATGAAAGGATATTGCATTTTCACACAAATAATCAAAAATATTATTACCTTTTAAAATACGCTAGGAACAGTCAAATCATTTTCGTTTTATGTAAATCTTAAAACCGTACGTACATGGAAATGTGTCCATGCATTTTAAACAAATAGAGCAGTACCAGAGATAAAAAAGACAACCATCTGAGCAAGGTCTGCATACTTATACGCAACTGCCAAATCCACTGACTGTTGTATTGATCATGCGGCGTACTAATGTTTGCATCATGGCTATAAGTGACTTATGCAACAATCGTATTCAGAAATGAACAACTACTGCCGAACGCCCTGATATAAAAAAGTCCATTTCACCCCAACATTTGCCAAATTCGCTTGGCTGTCGCAGACTATACTCGGACTCTAAGGCGAATATTGACTATTCTCTCTGGATACTGACTTTAGGAACTTTGGAGGTTTCATTTTGCCCACTTTGGATCCCCCACTGTCATTTATTTGTTTATCAGAAATTTGATTGCTTGTTAAATTTAGTACACTTTCATAAGTGCTAGCCATATTCCAAAACTTCTTCTAGGGCACCCGTTGATACCCAGAAACTTATAATTAATAAATACTAACCGCCTCTTTGTTTTTAAAACCACTTGAATAAAACTGATCTGGTCAGAAAACTGAACTTTTGCAACCCCGTTTTTGAAAAGCGGGTGCAAAGCTCACGCAAGTCCGTCGGATAATGTTAAAACCGGGAACTTAGCTATTCATTTCATTTTAGTTAGTCAATACTACAGCTGATATGTGGAAGTGGGAGATCTGGCTTTTAAATAGTAATGTCGGATCTGACAGGTATTTTCTATTAAAAGACATGGGCTGGGAATTTATTTACCTCAGTGGCGTAAACTGCATAAGAGATTAGCGACATTAATAGTTAAGTTATGCCGGACAAAGTATTTGCCGTGATTTTGGAGCCTCTGGTCAGTAAATACGCAGAGAATAATGGCGAATGCATGGATTTCTGATCGTTTTTCAATCGTAGTTAAGTCAAAACGTTGTCTATAGGAGTTACGGTTTCAAAAGAACTGCTCTGGATTCTACTTACCACAAACGCGGTTTTCAGACGTCGTACTAGGCAGGGATGTCCATGGTCGATTAGCAATTCTGTGCATTTGTATTGACATTTATCAAGTGTTCTTGTGATACATCCCTGGCTAAATGTGCTGACAAACATTTTTGCATGAGAATGGCTGGGGATCGGTACATTTCGGTTTCAAAAGCAAAATAGCCAAACATGGTAGTCGAATCCATGGGCAGTTGACCACCTACTAGGTATCAAGCCTACCAAGCATACAGTGAAAAAAGCAGACGGATTAGAATCGGAAAACGTGGGCGAGATGTCGTTCCTTACTTCAGGTTTATTATGTGGGTGCCTAGTTCTCTGTTATGACATACTCGTTCGCCTCGAAAAACTTATCTATTTAGAGTACTAATAGACTGATTTTCGGTAGTCTTACTGATCCGTGGGTAAGGTTTGTCTTTAGGTCGCGCACAGATCGAATGCTTTCGTTCTTGTTAGCGTTCGCATATTTTGGCCGACAAAGTACAAAAATCGCCTTAATTATCTGTAGCCTTAGCCTATATTGTCTTTTTGCCTACCTATGCATTCTTTTTCCCCTGAAGTCGTGAAAGTTTGCAGTTTGCTACTGTATGAAATTACAATGTTTCTCTGTATTATTTCAGTCATCTATCTGCAAATTAACTCTTGCCCTGTGAACGTCAACAATGTCTCAGTGTTTTCTGGTATCAAGTTGCCGTTATCTGCCAAGCCTCTAAATGTAGGCAGCTAAATGTTTTAAAAGACCTGAAAGGGGAGCAAGCTGAGCTTGAAGTATAGTGTATCTTTTTGCGTGGCATGAACGTCTCAAGATCACAGAACAATGTTAGAATACATTAAAATCAAAAAGTAGGTGCCATGTAGAAATTTACTTAAAAACCGCATCAGTTATGAAACCGTTTTACACCAACGTCTGTTTAATAAAAAAAGTGCAGTGGTGTGGTGCATCTGCGAATAGTATGATGTTACAAACTGCGGCTGAGAGAGAGCCAACGGCACTCGAGTACTGTGAGCAGAGAGACTTCGTTTCGAAGCGCATATAACGTAGAGACATTAAATAAAACTCAACGATTGTTGACCAATTTGGAGATGCAGCGCCTGTTTGCTGCCAGACTTCTACATCTTCTAATTCGTCTTCAGCTTTTGAACGTTTTCATATACTATGCAATTTATCAAAAGACGGAAGTAATGTATGCATGTCAGAAATTCATTTGACGGGGGTATGTTCCGGCCGTCACAGGAATTGGTTCATTTGTCTGACTTCTCCAACACATGCTTGGGTTCATTATCGGAAGAGTAGGATCAAATAAACATGCTGTATAGTTATGTCGAGTCGGTGCAGTGCTGTCACGGGCCGTCCCGTCGTCTGAATAAACATTTATGTGGGCCTCCGCACGATGACTACTTGAGTATCTGTCTTGACGCGTGCAAAGGCATTTGCACGAGGAAAAATACCACCGTTTATTACCTGCCATTTTTGTTGAATTAACCACTCAAATAACTTCTATTTGCTTATCTTCTCCACTTCATCTAAACTTTAGGGAGTCTGCTTAATTTCGTCGCCAATTCAAGAAGCAGGTAAGTTTGAACAATCGTCTTCTTTTCCTCTTTTTCGAGTAGACATCGGTTGCACTGCAACGTTTGCACTGGTTATTGAAAAGGACGCTACCTTTCAAAAGATTATCAGCAGTTCTTTATATAGGAACTTCAGCCCTTGCCTTTTCTTGACGGTATATCTCTCAATATGCTTTTGTTAATTTTCTGGTAGGCCAAGGGTTACCCGGATCTCGCTACTCGTTCATTCCTGAGCATGCTGTGTGACAAGTATCCAGCCCTTCCCGTCTATGCCTTAGTTGATGCTGATCCACACGGTACTTGACTTGGCTTTAATTTTTCCGACAACAACCGCTGTAGGGATTGGTATCTACTTGAATTATAAGTATGGTTCACAAGTGAGTCTTCTGAGTCCGTTACCTATTTCCCTACCTGCAAAAATATCCTACTAATTTACATACTGTCTTACTTTTTATCACAGAAATGAGCCTTTTATTAGCCCAGTTATTCGCAGTCTACGAAGGTGGTCACCAACTTGGGCGTAAGTACTTAGACTGGGAGCCTGAAGTTACTGGCGGAGTTCAAATGTCCTTCGTTAAATGTCTTTCCCTGTTTTCGGCCTCGCCTGTCGTTTGAACAAACTAAGCCTGAGTAGTTCAAATTAGATGTGGAACTCCGCTTCCAGTTGTCGAAATCGCCGTTGTTCGACGCACCAGCTCCCACGCTTCATCCACCTACACCGTGTTGTTAACCGAGGTGGCCGTTTGTTGGAATGATTTATGCGCAGGCCAGTGTCATTATCGATGACATCCGACTAAATGGGGCAATATACGATGAAGACGGTGGCTTCAAGTGTTTCTGTTTGGCTTCTTTTGCCACTTAGTCATTGCTATTGAGACTTGAAATGTTATGCATTCGAATCAGTTCTTTTAAGAAACTCCCCATCTACTTGATTTCCGTGGTTAACTTGTGTAAAATCGACGCCCCCTAGTTTGCCCTCAAGCAAGTTGGGTATGTGTTACCTTCTTGTCAAAACGGACTCACAAAATCCAATTTATTGAATTGTTGATGGCTCTTCGAGACCGTGTCTGTATTTTCGTCCTCTTTCTGCTTTTCACCTGCTTAACATACCTAAAGTGGGTATTACGTAAGGTAACCACCCCCGTAATAAAATGAAATTACATAACCGAAATGGCATCTGAAACCAAATTCTGTAGATACAGGTTTCCTCGATTTTATGGCGAGTTTGTGCCGCTGTGCATTCTAAACCTGCTGGGCACGTCCAGGACCTTCAATAGAACTGTTGTATTCATAATCGTGGGAATCTTTCCCACTCTTAGGAAATTCATTAAAACCAAGTTCAATCAAATCTTTGAATAATGAAAGTGTGTAAACAATTTGCTCTTTGATATTCTCGGTCTAAGTTAAATTGGAGAAAGGTTTGGAACTTCAAAACCTTCCTTGTTTAAGAACGAAGCGATGAAGCTCAGCGAGACGACCTCACCTTTCCTTCAGAGGTTCCGACTTCTTGGCATTCTTCCGTCTGAACTCTCAAGGTAGGTTAACGCTTGTTCATGTATTTTCGACCTTATAGGCTTCAAATTCCCTCCGAGGGTCTACTCGATTTAACAGATACCGACCGGACTTTGATCAAGACCATGAAAGAACGTGCTTATATGGACAGTGAACCGGAGGTTCTACACGAAGTATCACCTGCGCCTTTTATTAACTATCTGTGTACTGTAGCTGGAGATTCTAGAAAGGCTGGGGAAAAAGGCCGAGATTCAGTGTATGGACAGTCTTGGCGTAGACTTCCTTTGTCTGGAATACCTGAAAAGAAAGCTGCACCAGCATTCAAACAGCCGACGACTGGAAACAGACAATGGCCAATTTTCAAACTTTTTTAGAATATAAACTTTTTGAAGCATTTTTTCCCGGGTATGAATTGAAAACAAGCATGTACAGCAGAATTCATTAGGGCCAATAAATTTCGTGACGGCTTTTCAACTGCAGCCCGTCTCTGCATTATATAGGTAACGAATGAAAGCGCACAGCAGTATGAATTTGTACAGAATGGCAGTGCATAAGATCAAGGTCAAGGTTCAAGGCAATGAATAATCAGATGAGACGTCCACATAAGCATCATATAGGCAAGAGGGAAATGAAATTTTAACAACAACTCACAGTCAGGAGTAACTTGAGGCGTTAGATTATCAGGGCAATTGCAGATCGATCACGTGATCTAACTGCTTGCACAGGTCTGGTTTCTCCCTCCGTATGTAAGCTGCCTCCGAATAACGCAAGGTTCGAGTTGTTTGCGCTCGGGCAAGTACTCGAAAAGATGCTTTAGGGTCGACAACATGACCACTATCTAACAGGTGTTTCGTTATAGACGAACGGGGGTTTTGTTTTCCTGTTTGAAAAGCCAATTAGGCAAATGCTCAGCGGCCCTGGTTGCCAATTGCCTTTGCGTTCGCCCAATGTACTTGCATCCGCAAGTGCATGTAAATTCATACACACAATTTGGCGTGGCGTGCATTGGCAAGGCATCCTTTGCCCGGTTAATTGGAAGGCCTTTTGTGGAACTGACGAAGATAAGATCCGCTGCGTTGTACGTCCTTTCTATAGTGCAACGCAAGCGTCGCTTGATTGTGTTTGACACGTTGACACCCTTAAAAGGTAGACATATTATAACGGGCTTCTTCGGAACGGACTGTTCCGTCAACTTTGGCCGTAAATGGTTGCTTTACTCCTGAATGAAGCGTGCAGGATAACCACGATTTATAATAGTGTATTTTAGGCTTCTTTGATGCGGGCAGTTTCTGTATCTATGGTCTTTCTGGAGCAAATATTTCTCGCTCTTTGAAAAAGAGTATGTACTAGATTTCGTGTCCATTGTATTGGCGCAAAGCTTTTAAAATGTAAGTATTGCCCTTTCCACGTAATCTTATGGAAGACGGAGCGTCTTATTGAACCATCATCCCCTCTAAACATGCGGACGTCTAGGAAGGGTAACTTGTTAAATTGCTCCATTTCCATCGTAAATTTGATTTTCGGATGCAAAATATTCATCAGACAAAGTAGGTCGGAGGCGTCTTCCTTATTGTCAATAATCGTGAATATATCATCTACGTATCTCCTGTATAATGCTGTCGTGTTCAATTTTGATGACACCTTTTCTTCTAGGTAACCCATAAACACATCGGCGAGGGTTGGCCCGAGTGGACTACCCATTGCGACTCCGTCAATTTGTCTGTAAAGTTCCCCATTAGACAGAAGTTGAACATTTTTGGTGCAAAGTACCAGCAGATCGCGTAGTATTTCGGGGGAGAGTCGGGTTTTGGACGCATGGGTGCATATAACATCTATTGTTTCATCCAAACTTTTTACTGACCTTTCTGTGGTCAAACTCAGAACACAGAGTTAATGTCATTTATAAACTAGCGACTAGAAAATGCCACTGGATTAGTAATCGAGATCGAATCCAGAAACGTCTTCCAAACATGTAACCTGATTCTGTCCGGCAATGACTGAGCGGACGCTTTGTCATTTGCCTGGCTTTGAGTCTGGCAAGTAAGTTAAACCTAATGGTACACCTTAGCCATTGACTTTGGAAAGATTTATCATTCAAGAGTGGTTCTAGGCCAGATATAGACGGCTGACTTAATTGTATCAGGGCAGTTGGGGGCACTCTGCCGCGGTAGACCGCGAGGTGGGAGTCCTTAAGTAGCAAAAATGGAGTAAACGCTGCGTGAACCACAAAAGGCCTTTCTGTGTAACTGCACACAACCCACACTTGGACAAACTTCCTCCACCTCCACGTACTCAGAAGAGCGCACATGCCAGTAACTTGGTCAGCCTAGACTTCAAGGCAACCAATTCGCCTGTTTCTTTCACATAAGAAAAAAACGACTCTCCATTGCAAACGTCATTAGGAAATGTCCTGAAACGCTACAGGACTGCCCTAAATAGCCAAGGATATTTCTCCATAGGTTTGTTGTTATAAGTTTGCACGTCTTCCAGATTTTATTACCAGAATAGTCACCGTTGTCAGCAATCCTATTGTCTATGGTGATCTCAGGCTCATCTCCAATCGTCCCGTCACAGGAAGGTAGTAGATGTGGGAAAGAGTAAAGCAAGTGCAAGGGAAGGATCCCTCAGTATGAAATAATCTGAGAGTCACCACAGCATCTTCAGGACAGTGACGGTTATCATTAGGCACAAAGGAAAATCCACCCCTCGAAAGTCATCGTTGTCTCAACAGTTGGCAAGCAGTTGCCCAAGATGGCATATGGCAAAGTTACTAAAGGCAAACAGACGAGCCAACTAAGTACTGGACATTTACGGATTTTGTCCACATGCAATGCAGCGTACGGCAGTTGATAGCACTTGTCCTCCCGATGTATCATGCTTCCATGGCAATCAGTGGAGGTCCAAATCCAGCAAACACACTGCCTTTCTGTTGATGCTTCCTTACCGGCGAACTCGCTATTTTAGAGGACCTAGTTTTGTGTTCAGAAAGAATGTAACAGTTACCTGTGGAGCTCGGTCGGCGGCCAGCTCCTGTCTCTAAAGCCAGGCCGTAATTTCGTCGCACCCCTGCTACTGAATTCCCTAAATATTTTCGATTTATCGGGCCGGCATGTTCCGCACACAAACTGCCTGCGGATTTAACAGCCGCAAATCGATGCAAACGTCTGGCGGTGTCAGACAAACTTAATCTCATGCGCGCTGGCTCAAATAACTTGACCACTTCGTTAGTTTTCCGGTAACTTTTCCTCCAAGTTTATGCATTCGGGTCTACTAAGCCTCGAGCCTTCGAAAAGATTCTAGGGAATGTAGATCAACTAGAACTGTGAGTCACTCTAACTTGCATGTTAACTTCGCTGCCCAGCGGTGCCGCAGGTATTGCGAAACTTCATAGCCCTTCATAAGGCAACACTTTGGATTCTCTGCCTCTCATGCGTTGTCCGGTGCTGGACATGGGACGCACAATTTAAAACTCGCGGTCTTCCCCGACTTTTTGCCGACCACTGTTCAAACTAATGCACTGGCCAGGCCAGTCAACTGAAAAAAACTATTAAGAGGTATCAGAGATAAGGATAACTGGTCATGTTGGGGAGTCATTGCGGCCCGACTCTCCATCCTGAGGGGAGGACCGGATAAGACCTTCAGTTAGCTGCCTTTCAAGCCACAACTTTAGGTACGTCGCCATAGTTTTAAAGTCCGTGAGGTGGTTTATAGTAGGAAAGCGCTAGACTGCCACGAAGACCGGTTCCCCATAGTCGACCTCACACTCCTTCTCCCCTCTCCCATGCATCAGTACGCTGTCAAAGTACGCTGATGCTCGGGTTGGACGCAAGAGGCTGGCGCGACGTGAGATGGCACCTAAGCCTGCTATCACGCCACAAGTGCCACATTTCATATGCGATAGGCGAACGCCAAGTAGCCTGGCTAACACATTACGCAAGCTAGTCTGGCCTCGGTGTTGATCTAGCGCACTTTCCGCGTGGACCGTTGTAGGGAATAAGTGGCCAGATATACCGACCAGAGGCTGCATTTGCGACGATGCAAGGATTCTAAGTCGGCACACTACACAAACGAAACAGCTCACTCTGCACGCTTGGTCCTCGAACGTCGAATCGACCAACTGGCATGTTGGCTTTCCTGAAACACATCCAGACTTGTATTAACAGATGGATCAAACAGGCCGTACTTGGGCTTGGTGCGACCGAGATCATGTCTGATCTGGTCGGCCGCGATCCGCAGCAGCAGATCTGGGCGGTTTAACCTACTCTCTTGGCCACCGAAGGAAACAAAATACCGAAGGTGCAAGAACCAATTTCATTTCTTAACGAACTGTGTCAAGTTCGGTTTCGAGTTGACCCCCTCTTCGACGCCTCCAATGGGACAAGGGTGCCGAATCGAGGGCAGTAACACTGAGCTCCTGAGGTGGACGATGAACAACATGCCCAAACCACCTCAGTCGCGTTTCTTGAATGACCTGAGATATCTTTGCGACGTTGTAGCTGCGAGTGCGGACTGTCCCATCTGAGACGAAGTCGATGTACTTCACTCGGAGGATGGTCCTCAAGCAGTAACGAATAAATATGTTCCTCTAGTTTTCGCTCGTCCTCCACGTGCGCAGCCCAGCATTCACAACCATAGAGAATGGCAGACCAGGCAGATGCACGGTACACGCGAATCTTGGCGGAGATGGAGATGCCACGTCCTATCCATAGGCATTTTCTAAGGCTTAGGAAAACCCGACAGGCAGCATCAATTCGGGGGAAAAATGTCGTCCTTACTCTGTTCATTCGACAGTAGCCTCGCTCCGAGGTATTTAAAACTGTCTGCTTCGGACTGTTTTAGGGTTTCAAAATTCCCATAGCAGTATTCAGAAAACCAGTTGGCGAATGTTTGCTTTTGGTAAACTCTCGCCAGGTGTTAAGGGCGCTCAATGGGTACCTGCGTTTCAAAACCAAACTTGCGGAGGCCCAAAGTACTGGCCAGGTTTGTCGGGGACTGCTGTGAGAGAAACGAGTATCCAAACCACTACTAAAGAGCGCTGAGACATAGTCGCACAGGTGTTACCACAGAAACCGTGAAAAGACACGCCGACAATCAACTGGTAAGTGCCCTCGTAAAGATGAAAGAATCTGAGCGTCACGTATGTCAATGAGCAGCCGTCCCTGACATCCTGAAGGAGGATGAAAGAGTTAGGTAGCTATGCGCAGTTCCTGAGAAGAAAACGCGGAGAGGCAAAGAGTTATGCGCCTCTTAAAAGTGTGCATTACATGCAACCACAATCACGGCTTCCAAAATATCCGTGTCGGTGCGTACAGAAGCACTCTCTTATGACAGTTGATAAAACATCACTTGAAGTATTATCCCTCCGTACTAAGTTTTGCATGCCTCGTCGAAAATTTAATCAGTCAGAACTTGAAACTCTGTTCGAGAACCTCTGCAACCAAACCTACGCTCTAGCGCCCGCTTTCACAAACAGTATTTGGCATTTTAAATCGACATTGGTGAATTGCAGTCATCGGCACCTGAAGAGAGGTCAGAAAGTGAGGGATTGCTAACGAAAGCGCATGTGGAGAAGTCAAAAGAACCTCGAGAAAACAAAGATACCTAGGTAACTAGGCTGAATAAAGGAACGGGCATCGCTATCATGAACAGATCGGACCACACAACGAAGATACATTCCATATCGTCAGACCAGAAGAAATTCAGGAAGGTAGACAAAGAAAGAGACTGCGCGGATGAAGTATTCAAAACTGGCCGACTGTCTAAGAAGGCTCCACACAGGGGGTTTCATAAGTGACCGTGACCTTGAACACCTCCGACCAGCCGACACAAATATACTTCGACTGTATGGCTTTTCTAGGATTCACAAAGACGGCCTGCCAGTTCGTACGGCTTTCGACATGCGTTACTCTCCCTATCCTGCAATAGCGAAGCGGTTAGCGGAGAAACTCAAGCCCATACAGCGTCAGCTAGCACCACGTAGCTATCGTGTTACCTTCAAACTCATTTACGACGTCAAAGGTTCCAACCTTAACGACATGGTGATGCTCACCACTTTTTAAAAACGTTCCGGTTACCCAGACGGCTGATCACATTTGCGAATCCCTCTTAACCAATCAGCAGGAAATAGGAATTCCAATGAACACACTCAAGGAACTATTACTATGATGCACATTAAATGTGAAGTCCCTTTTCAACAACCAACTCTATAGAAAAATAGACGGCCTTGCTATGTACTCGCCTAACCGAGCTAGAGAAATGTTAACTAAGCGATCAGATCAATAAGCTTGAACATTAGAATCGCTACGTCGATGACATCTTTGCAATCGACATCAGAAACCGTCATAGCTGTCCTCCTAAACGCGGCAAATCTGGCACATCCATTAATCAAATTCGCGTTGGAGATGGAAACGGCTGGTTCGCTCCCTTTCCGAGATGTTCTAAACAGGAGACCTGACGGTAGCGTCTGAGGGAGCCTCTATTGGAAGAAAACTTAGTCTGGACAATTCACAAACTTCGTCAGTTTTGTACCCTTCCAACAAAAGTGAAATCTAGTTCGGCGTTTTGCGCAGAGGGCTGGAAAAATCTGCTCTGCAGTTAGCGTCAAGGAGCTCAGAGAGTTCCAGGATTTGTTTCGTGATAATGAATGTCCTGACAAGTTTGTCGCGAAGAATTCTGGTGAGCGACCGCAAAAATCCACCACACTGACTGCTGAAAAGAAAGCACCGTTTTTCAAAGTCCCTTTTCAAGAGGATTCTGTGAGTGAACTCCTAAGAAGACGCCTTGATCAAGGTGTCTCAAGAAGCTTCCCAGCAGCGAGTGTTCGAATACCATTCTCTACTAATCCTATTTCATGCGGGGAAGGATAGGTTTCCAATTCAGACCACACCAATGTGCATATACTTTGATTGCTCCTGTAGAGCAGGTTATATTGATCGCACGAGTAGGCGCCTATCCAAGAGAATACGAGAAAACTTTCCGGCATGGCTGGGAAAAGGTCAAACTAGGAGCATAAAGAGTGCCGTTCTCGCGCATATTGTTGATTCCGGGCATCATGTGGACCCCAGCGAAGCTTTTCACGTGATTTATAAGATCCTGTCGAGCTACCCTAAGTTGGTGGACCAGCGCCTGTTGGCGACAGCAGAGGCGGTCACCACCAGGTTACGCGAATCAATTTTGTGCGCACAGAAGAACCACGTCCAGGCTCTGCACCTACAGTGGTCGAAGGTCGACTAACGCCACGACTATCCGCGCCCTTCCGCTCTCACCCCGACCCTGGCATTGACTGCTCAATCTGGAACTCTCTGGTTTACTTATTTGAGAAAAAACTATTGTATTCTTTGTTTCGTCTTACAAAAAAGGTATTTGATAAAACAATATACGAAAACCGGTCAACAAACTGAAGCATAAAATTGCGTAGAGCCACATAGCCTGAGTATTTGGAGAGCCTGGGTGGGATTTCATACGAATAAGAATGTTCGTGTGCAAGTTACACTTTGATGTTGTACTCCTTCAAGAGATTGCTCGCTACGACAAGCCTTTGGATTTCACTGGTTCCCTCGTAGATTTCCGTTATGCGAGCGTCACGATAGAGTCTTTCGGCCGGCATATCTGATACATAGCCCATACCGCCGAGAATTTGGATGGCCTGCAGACACATAGAAAATGGCATCATTCTTCCTCATGAAAAAAATTAAAGAAAGCATGGTGAAGAAGCCCAAGTTATCAAAAAGAGATTAAATGATATTGCATTTTCCTGGTAAATGCAAATGAGCCAAGTTAAAACATAATGACTCGGTCGTGGGCAGATGACCGCTTCCGATCAACGACAGAATTCTTCCAATCAGTTCTCGTTACTGGCGGTGAAACTTGGGTCCGAATCAGCATATTACGCTGGCAGATCTGAGCTCCGGGGCACTAAGCCCTACGCGGCGTCGGTCTATGCAGTAAAGCCAGTCTACGAGTGAGTCGTGCATTCACGTACACGTCAGTGATGGCGTGGTCGTGCTGCGGTCACTTGGACTGCTTCGCTGACTTGTCGTTAATATTGAGTTCCGGTAAGCAGTTGAAAAAAGGAGACGCAATCCATGGAACAAGAATTTTACCCGTCCAATGTTTTCGACACGACGTTCGAAGCCGTCATTAAAGGCAGGATCAGATAAAGTTAACGGATGCACTTGGTGTACATTATTTATAATATACAGTTGCTAGGTCATTGCAATTCCGTCTCCATCTTCTCAACGTTAATGCCCCGTATACGCCAGGTTGCGAGAAAGGTGCATTTAGCGTAGAGAAGCGATCCGTCTAAGGTTGTCTTCTTTACTACTTGATTTGGGACTGTGTAATTCCAGGATTTTTAAGGGGAGAAAGAGAGGGGGGTCATTTACACGCAACCCAACGATGCCCAGCTAGTCGAGGCTGTTCATTAGCTCTGTGAACAATAGAGGTCCTCGGCTATTGTAAAGGATGAAGGTTCCTGGAGTGCATGAGACTTCTTTTTTAATTGTAATGTCAGGAGTCATAAAAAATTATCGAGTCTTCCGAGCTTGTTAGATAACAATGCTGTTCCACGACTGGCCGAGGGGGGGATGGCCTACCGAGTCAGCCATAGGTATGTCACACGTCAGTCGCTGCATTCCGTGCACAAATTGCTCCTGCGTGTATGCTGACCGGATAGATCGTCACCTTGGAATACACAGAAACGAGCATAGGCTGGCTGTCCGCCGGTACGAACCAGTGTCACTCGTCCTTGCGGGCACATTCGAGAGATCACAGCGTCAACTGTGGTCGATGCTGACGTTATCTCCATGACCAATATTAAACAGGCACGAGGGGTTCTCGAGGTTTTGTACACAAGCGCAATCAATATCGACAGTCAGGTCGAATTGGACGTTCATTATAAAGGGCAGTGTGTATGGCTCACTGACGGATAAGACTGGGACGGCAACAATGATGGGAGCGACAGCAGTAGAAGTGGTGAATAGGCTCACTTGTGCGTAATATCCTCTTGTCCACACAGAAAACGCGCTTACCTGATGAGTAACAAATGTAGCCGCTTCAGAAGCGACCAACTTGGCCAGGGCAGCCTGTTTGGTGACGGGTTCACCTTTGTCCTTCATCCGAGCCGCTGAATAGGTAAGAAGGCGAGCCGACTGTATGCGTGCTTCCATGTCGGCCAATTTCATCTGGATAGCCTGTAGATGACCAATCGGAACACCGAATGCGCTACGCTTACCTGAGTAGTCGATGGCGCATTCAAAGGCCGCCTATTAAGAAAGCACACAACAAGTAATGAATGGTGACAAAGTGGATTCCTGGGAGAAGCTTTTAAGTGTTCCACTTTAAAGTGAGCACTAACAGGCAATATTTACCGCCTGGTTGCCACACTATCGAGACTCTGGGAAGGACAAGACAGATTACTTAATTGGTTTCAATATGTTGATCCAGAAGTTTTACTTGAACAGATACATGGAGTCGGAACGACAACCTTTGGCTAATCTACTATTTGTCAATCAGCCATACCGACAATCAACATGATATAGGAATGCCAGTGAATGCCCTCAAGGAATTGTTATTGAGGTGTACCTTGAACGTGCAGTTCCTATTCGACAATAACCTATATAGGCAGATGGACGGCGTTGCAATGGGCTCGCATCTTGGCCCGCTTTTGGCGAATATATTCATGCTAACGTTAGAAGCTTTCCAGCTACGTCACCAGATCAACGGTTTAAGATACTATGGGCGGTACGTGGATGATATATTCGCGGTTGCACCGAAACTAAGTGACATCTCAATTCTACTGGATGACATAAATCAGGCGCACCCATCAATAAAATTCACTCTGGAAGAAGAACAGTCCGGTTCACTCCCCTTTCTGGATGTGCTTCTGAGTAGAAGACCTGATGGCAGCATTCGACGCAGCGTCTATCGTAAGAAAACGTGGTCCGGACAATACACCCATTTTGGGAATTTCGTACCGCAAAACGTTAAACGTAATTTAGTCCGCTGTTTGACAGAAAGAGTAAGAAGAATCTGCTCAGCTGATAGCGTTGGGAAAGAGCTGAAGATAATCGAAAGCCTCTTTAGCCAAAACGGGAATCCTGGTCGATTCATTGCTAAGAACATGGCCGAAAGACCGCAAAAGCCCCCGATACTGACGGCAAGAAAGAAAAGGCTTTTTATCAGGGTCCCATTCCAAGGGGATGCACAAAGTGAGCTTTTAAGAAGACGCCTTACCCAAGCTGTCTCACAGACCTTTCCAGCAGCTGACACCCGTGTACTGTTCTCCACCAGTCCCATCCTATACGAAGAGGGCAAGGACAAACTACCCGCTCAGACCACCTCTGTGTGTATTTACTCCTTCCCCTGTTCCTGTGGGGCAGAATATATTGGTCGCACGAGCCGGCGGTTATCCAAAAGAATGAAAAAACATCTCCCGGCATGGTTAGGAAATGGACAAATAAAGAATATCAACAGCTTGATCCTCGCGCACATGGTGGACACAGACCACCGTGTAGACGCCAAAGAGGCCTTCAGAGTGATTTACAAGGTTCCATCAAGCTATCCAAAACTGCTTGGGCAGCGCTTGTTGGCTACGACAGAGGCGTCCGCAATCAGGCTACGCCGACCGGTCCTATGCGCACAGAAGAACTTCGTACAGGTCCCACAGTTACCATGGTTCAAAGCCACCAAGTCAACCACTCGCATGTAATTACCTTCGCCGGGACCCACCTCCCGGGCGCTGACTGGAATTGTGGTGCTTCATCTACCCCTCCCCTCTCAAAACCCGAGCTACAGCTTAATTATCTACTTGCCCGTATCTTTTAATTCATTACTTCAATAGCCATATAAATGTACAGGCCTGAAGAGAATTTATCGAAAGCAGACGTATGCTCGCCAAATTGCCTTTTGAATCAGCCATACTGCAAATTCAAAACGTGAAGGCATGCAATCTTATTCCAGGTCTAGCTCATCACTGAGGTCAACTTATATCTACTGAGTCACTGTTGCATGCTCTGAAAGCAACGATCGGGAATATTAACCACCACATCGGAGTGGCGTTCAATGAAATGGTTTGCTTGCAGGACATGATAGGAACATTCATGAGCAATCATAAACGGTAACTATTGCTGAATCTTCTGATGTGTTACCGCCACAGTCAGGGGTGCCGCAATGTCTAATTCCGGATTCTTTTGTCGGTGCCAGCTTCCGGGCCCTAATTCTATGCGGAAAAGACCCAGTAGTGACTCAGGCTCAAATCACTAACCTCCCCGATATTGACTGAGACAAATCAAGATGAACCAAAAATGACTTTCTACCCCGTATGTGCTGCCGCTTGATGTATGCATGCTGGCGACGCCTCATTGACGAATGAGATTATTGCTCTGACGCCGCGTGTGCTTGGTGAGGTCGTGAGGGGTGAGGGATAAAGCCGGCCTGGGTGTGTTAACGTGACCCGACCATCAGGCGAGTTTGACTGACCTTTGACCGACCATCTGAACCGTCACTTGCAGGCTTTGACGGAGCACGAGATAACGCGTGCACATACGCACGCACGCGAATGTCCAGCTAACGACATCAGTCACCGCGTTGCGATCGATCAGATAGGCGTGCAGCAGAGGCTTAGTAATAAGGGATTGAGCGACCAGTGATCACTCCACGCTGCATTATTCAGGACTATCCAGTAAGCATGTAAGAGATCAAAGGAAGATGACTAAGATTGTGCGAAGTACAGCGAGCAGTCGGCAGTCGTTCAGCGGCCTTCAAAACTATTTCTTCAACTCTGCTGTTTGCGGCAGTGCGGAGTGACTTATGAATCATGGCTACCGGAATTCTCGCTGTTATGATCTGCTAATGTGGCCGCTAATTGGGTTTTTAATAAACGACACTGAGCAAACACCTTCAAACCGACAGTGGTTCGACCTGAAAACGAACATAAAGGAGAATTATGTTGATCTTCGGGCCAATAGTGTTAGTTAAATCATACCCTTGCCGAGGGGAAGGGGTCGTTAGAACAAAATTATACAAAAAAATTACAAACATCGACACCAGCAATTGCATTTAAAGCCTGACTTCTGAATCACTAAAAAGGTGTCCTCTCCTAAAAAACACTTCTCTCAACTAAAAAGTCAAACTCTACGACTGTGCTGATGTTGGAGGATTACTCAAACTGACTCATACAACCAGAACTACGCCAGCTCATGATTGCAATAGCAACCCAAAACGGGCGACAGTGGGGCTCATTTTGGAAGATGATTGAAGACCAGAAGAGATGAGGTACATTTTGAACCAAGTTAAAGGGGCTGAGGCGTTAAATGCTAATGTCAAAGTCGGCAGCAAAGATGCGGGACAATATCAGCAACTGAACCTGCGCAATACTATGATTCTCACTATGAGGCCACTGAAGTCAGAATGCCATAAAAGGAAAGCAGACCTGAATCTGATGTGATTTCGCCGGTTTTGTCAATAATTGTTTTTTTTAAAAAGAGAATAAGTAGTTCCGCCGGCAGAAATGACTCAGAACTCGCCTTCTTACGGCTTGTTGCAGAACCTATGGTTGGTTTTGGGTGTCGTAGTAGTTTGCGGTGCGTTTTCAACCCTGGACCGTGAGTTCATTCACTGAAGCCGTCGCAACCACGAGGAAAAAAGACCGATGGGCAGCTGGAGAGCTGAAAGACCTTGGGGTTGCCATAAGCTGATGAAAAATTTGGTCGAAAATCCTGCATCTAGGTTGCGGCCATCCTTTCCAACTCAGTTGCTTTTCAAGCCTATTTTTAGAACTAACCGCATTGCGTAAGTTAAATGCATTAATGGTTCTGTGGTGCTGTTTTTGTCGGTTAAACTCCTGGTCAAGCGTCTGTTGTGGACTAGGAAGTGCGGTGGTACGCCTAGGTGCGGGTCCAGCCGTGCCAGCCACCTGTGCTCTCCCTCACCTCCGATCTTATGGACTGTCTCGACATCGAGTCCGGGTGGTGAAGAGGAGGGAGTGCAGTAGATGTTGCGCAAGTCTACTCCCACTACAAACTAATTCCCGCGCAGGTCGCCAGCCCGCCTCGCCTTGCTGTGGAGCAGATGGTGGACATCGTCTGCCACGACGGTCGTACTGTCATTGCATGCTGATAACTTTTGTTTCTAAATAATTGTCTTACCTTCTTATGCTCACCATGTCAATGAGTCCTTTGTTTGTTAAACATATTCATTACCTGCCCTGTAGCAGCAAAAGTAAGCGCACGGATCCTGAGAGCTACTAGCTCGTTTGACGACGTCCTCACTGGATGATGCTGGCAGACGAATCACCATAAAATTAAATCCACTGCTTTCTTACACGCGTCCCTACGGAGCATGTGAAAGAGATTATTTGATAGTTAAGCAAGTGTGGGTTCAGATTTTCGAATTATTGTCCGGATGCAGACGGCGGCAGATACTCAAACCAGCGTCGAGGCGCGGGGTTTCCGTGTACAACAGGCATGGCAAAGACTGACTTTAGCAGGGCAAAGTATTAGTATAAAACTCGTGGCAAGCAGTGCCACAGATGTCAAACGTCACCTGAGCAATGCCAAGGGCCTGGCCGGCCACACCAATGCGTCCACCATCCAGGGTCTCCATTGCAATCTTGAAACCCATGCCCTGTTCGCCGAGAAGGCCTGACTGCGGCAAGTGACAGTCCTCAAATGTCAGGGTGCAGGTGGATGTGGCCCTGATGCCAAGCTTGTCCTCCGGCTTGCCCACTACCAGGCCCTCCCGCGGTGTCCGCATGACGAAAGCCGAGATCCCCTTGTGTTTCTTACTGCGATCCGTTGTGGCAAAGACAATGGCACCCTCCGCCTCCAGCCCATTTGTGATCCAACACTAGAGGAGGAAAGAGGGATTTACGGAGGAGATGGACAACGGCAAAAGCAAAGTCTTTCGTTTCGCGCGGATGTCTGACGCAAGACGAGGCACGCGGGCTCCCTGGAGTCTGGGCCGCAGTCCCCAGAGGCAATCGAAAACTGGCAGAACAAAAGTATTATCTCTATCAGTACCAGCGTGGTTCGAGTAGGTAAAATAAAAACGGTGCATATTACGGTAAAGTCGGAAAGTGTATGTACCTTGAACACTATTGCCCGACAGTTCGTTCTTCGGTAAAGTAACATACCGCCCATTTCATAAACATTTTAAATGCTCTCTCCGGAGCTTGCAGGAGGCTTAACGCGCCTAACTTCTCAGTGTCTCGTGTAATGTGTAACAACCAGTTAGTTTTATTTGACAAGTCTTATCCAATGCCGCCAAAATCAGCCACCATAAAATTGAGCTCTACATATTCGGTTAGGTAAGAGTAGTTTGAACAGCGCCGGAGTGGCGCTCAACTCTGCGGCCTAGCTGGAGGACAGGATAGGAATTATATGGAGGCGAAAGTTCGAGTTACAGGTCGGGCACTGGAACAGCTTGTTGATTGTTCTGAGCGTTTGAACTCGTGCAGGAGCCCATAGTCAGAGATAGTGACGGCAGGACGAGCGACAATTATAGGACTTTCTAGTCAATCATCGATTGATGGCGCAAGACTGCAGGTGGCTGCACAAGGCTCTGTACGCTGGCGCCAGATCGATAAATCGATTGACCCAGTTCTCATCCGAGGCACAGGACTTAGTCAATTCTCGGCCTGTCTTGTTCCCAGTGTGGGCGGTTATCTTGGTGGCTGCAAAGTTAAATTCATGATCCATTTCGTAGTTGTGGCCAGAGACTTCTGATAATTCGTCCCAGCATGCGTCCAATCTGACCTGTGTAGTTACAAGGACAGATCTTGGCACGGGATGCGATATACTACCCTGGATTGCTCCTCAGAATTTAACCGGTCTTTAATTTGCATGGCCTGCACGGTTTTGAAAGTTCAGAACTAAACAGACTGTTCCGATGCTCGACTAGTCTTTTCTTTTGCTTATAGGAACTATGTTTCGTCGTTGACCTCTGGTTCAGAAGTCTCGCAGGCAGTCATATAATGACGAACAAAGCGGAGACACAAACCGCACTTTCAAAACAGCGGAATCTCTCTAACCCATCTTACGATCAGGTCAGATCGGTAAAAATCCGTCCATGTGGAAATTGGGTCGCTCTAAGAGGACGTTTACTCGATTGCAGGAACAAAATTTTTATTATTTAAACGTTTCGAATCTATAGACGAGCCCAAATCCGGAATTTGAGAGCCACTGAGGAGGCACAGGGGACAATACCGATACGATATTCCACTTTTTGCCTGATAAACCTCATTCGATGTTTTGATTAGCGAACACTTGTCACTTGTGTTCGCATTTGGGGCGACAGTTGCTTAGCTTTGGACGCCTAAATGGGTAAATATTGGGCCTCCATAACCAATTATGGTAATTGATTTAATAATTGGTCGACAATTTCGCCCCTCGCGTTGTTCATACACGAGTTTCATATGTAATTAAGTATCTTGTCCAAACAGTTCGAAAACTCCTCAGGCCGGTGGAAATCGTCAAGTTTAATGATCAACTCCGAGTCTGAGAACCATGACTTGAAAAACTGGCGACTCGCAAGGATTTTAAAAGTTTCGAACTTGAATGTAGCCTTTTCGTGTCTCGTGCATCGCAACCCGCAACTTGAAGTCACAAATCCTCACAACCGACGCGTAGTCGACCATCTACGCCTAGAGCAGGCCCCACTCCACTTCGACGCAGGTTATTCACCCAAAACCACACCTGACCCGGTAGGGACCCCTGACGTTTCTTGCCGTGGCAGTGGGGCTTTCGGGTTCAGCGCTTAGGGCTGGGTGGCAGTACCTGGCTGCTGTGGAATTCCGGCACTGAGTGGTGAGTGGGGACGGTTCAAGGCGCCCCAGACATAAGGGGACGCTTGCCCAAATCTTGGAATCCAATAGACGAAGTTGTCCGTGCAGCCATCCTCCTTGAATACCCTCCGGAGGCAAGCCTGCCGTCCGATCTACTCCGGCGAGTCTTGACGCGACGCCTGCATTTACAACTGATTTACGCGGCTGTATCTTGACGTTCGGTACTCTCGTGGTGTCCGTCACTTCCCCGAAAACTTGGGTCTTTGACAGATAAAAACATCAAGGAAAGTCATCTGACTGGTGACCGGGAAGAAGGCTTTAGAATAAATCAGAAGTTTGATTCCTTATGCCCCCCGAGGACATCATTCGCAAACTGAGCATAAAACTTCGGCCATGGTGTGGCAATATCAGTGACTCAACTACTTGTAAAACCGTCCTAGTTATGAACCCAGAAATCAGTGGGCCCATCGGTATGCATGCATGTCATTCCGGTAGGCGCAAGATGCGTTTTGAGGCGATTCTCCGTTCCTTCGTAATTTCTCTCCAGAGGAAAAGTGAAGTTCGTGACTGTCAAATCTTCGGATATAGGTGCAAACGAGGATGCAATCACGCCAGGTATTCGATTGACCTCTCAAGCACTGGGCCGCCAATGATAAGCGACGATCAGAAATTAAGTGTCGAAATAACCGTTTCGCTAGTACCGCCCCGGTCTGCATACTTTAATCAACTGCCCTTTTTACTAAGGCTAACAGTGTCTACCTCGGATCTAAACCACTTACGGGTAACTAGATCTGTCCTGTTAAATGGTCAGTTGAAAACTGGCTTTTCCATAAAGAGATGGAATAGGATGTGGGTATGCAGCCGCAACTGTTGGTCAACCGAATTATTTTGAGTTGGTATGGCGTTGCTGATCGTTGCGGTGTGTGTTCTGTTGGCGGCCTTGTTTCTTTGTTGTCGTGCCTACCTTTTTCGGCCCAACGCCGGTGGTCCCTCTCGACTTTCAGCCTCTCTTCTCCTTCTAACTTTCGCGTTAGACGTTTCAGGGTAAGGGCTGCGATCAACGGTTAGGGTCAGGGGTTAGCAGTAGGGCAACTATTTCTCAGCCACTCAAAGTACAACCGCTCATTCCCAATGGCTTTTCTTTTATACACGATTACTTGACTTCGTCGCCTATGCGTTCCCCGTCCCACCTGTAGAAACCCCTATTACCGCCGGTTCCATATTAGAGGTTGCTGGGGAATGTTTACCTCAGGTGCGGCTACATAACCAAATCTGATCGGAGTGCCTTTAAGTAATAGGAATGGGGCTGGCTTGGCCGCAGAATTAGCCTGACGCCGTCTACCGAGCTCCCACCCACTGCGGATATGGTATCCGAGTTACCTTTTGCCAATGAACGCAGCATTACTTTCACGTGCCGACGTTTTTACAGAGTTGGCTCGAATGAGACATAGTAATAGTAAGCATACAGCAGTCCTCTTTCTTCCCTACAAGTACTTAATGCCATCTGGGGGGGTACATTCACTTATTTAGTCTGACCGAGGAATGGCGTAAACAAGCTGACTTTCCGAATCCACTCGCCCTCATCAAGCAAAACACTGGATGACTCGAGGTTCGAACAACAAAAGTTCAACTATGCTCGCGACAACTAAGGACTAACGTCGTGCTGCATACGTAATCACACAATCTACTGGGACGGCTTGGGGATCTAAATAAGAGGACCTCCTCAAAAGGGCACCGTATGTAGTAAAAAGAAACAATCAAATACTCGAGTGACCGAACAGTAATGTATCCGTGTCTGTTAAGATTAATGACGTCGTGATTTGAAAGAATGTGTTGCAGACGACCAGACTCGGCCTATGAATGAGGTTCTAATCCACAGGGAGTCGACCGTGGCCTTATTCAAGGTACGACCGATATAAGGGATTAAAATAATCACTTCTGGCTTATTCGCTGTCGGCCGTTGACCGTAGTTCAAATTACGACTGGGGAGGTACGATATTTGAGTTCGATTCGGCTGGTTATCAAGAGTTTGATCCAGACGTTCTACCGCTTGAGCCACGAGTGCCCTAGTATGGCATGCGATTCTGAGTGCTAAAGGTCGCCTGCGGGCAGCGGCGGCAGGCCTGTTTTGGTTTCAAAACGAAATACGTAGTGATAGAGTGTCCCCATGGGCAGTCGAATAGCGGCAAACAATCGCTAATAGAAGCGAAAAAGCGAGTTCTAGAAAAAAGTTGTGAAGATGGAGACACACTTGTCGTTTCCGATTTCTGGTTGAACCTATCATTTAAGACAACAACAGATACGGTGAGTTCATGCATAAGGGGCCGCAATATTTATAAGATACAATTGTCATGCTATCGTATGCCTATAAAAATGCACGGTTGTCCCCTTCATCGGGGACTGTTGCACTTGCTGTAATGACTGTTCGATTGCCGACATTAGTCGCTGCAATTACACCAGGGGTTTTGAATGTTGGTGTGATTACTGCTCGATTATCTGACCCACCGACCCTGGCGTTGGAATAGTGTTCGCCTGTGAGCTCCCCCCGTGGCCAATTACTCCGCCTAGGCCAAGTCTCAGCACCGAATATGGAGTGATAAGATCCTAGCACTTGTTAATAGACTGGAGGCCAGTGAATTATGACTCAAGCATCGCGCGACTGTCACCTCTGGCAAGAACTTCGGCCTCGTCGGATTTGAGCGTGCAGAAAGTAAGTCTCTCGCCAAATGAGGTCATGGCACCTTTTTACGTCACGTTCCTCTTTACTTCCATTCCACAGGATGTGGCGATCGAAACCAGGGAGCTACTTCTGCAAAGCAAATACGATGAAACGGAGAATTGTCCTTCAGTTCCTGAAGTTCTGTCTCAAAACGTACTTCACGTTTGACGGAACAGTCCACGAACAGGTGAAGGGCCCACAAACTTATTCGGGACTCATCGTCCAGACGGTCCTGCAACGGTTAGAGTCGCTGGTCTTCCAACACCACGGACTGAGATTCTGCGCTCAGTATTGGGACGATACCTTCGTTGTTATCGACCGGGATCAATTTCTGAGATTCAGAGAACGTCTCAACACTGCCTTCGTGGGCATGCAGCTAACGGTAGAAGAAGACAACCAGCTGACTTTCCTGGATGTTCTCGAATGCCGCAAAGATTTCGGTGGCCCAAAGGCTGAAGTGTTCAGGAAAGCAGCAAATATAACGCACTACCGAACTTTAACAACAAACAACCGAACAGACACAAACGAAGTTGTGTAAGGACGCCCTGTCGGCGCGCTGACATGCACTTCAGTGGGCCGGAAGACAAGATTGCCGAACTTCAATACCTCTGACGGGTGTTCAAAGCCCATAACTACCTATCTGCGGAGTGGTGTAGACACGTCCACCTTCTGAATCCACTCCCCGCCATCAAGCAACCATAACCAAAGCACTGGGTGGCTCGAACTTCGAGAAATCATAGTTCAACTATGCTCACGGCAGCCACAAACTAACGTCGTGCTACATACGTAATCACACAATTCACTGGGAAGGTTCGGGCATCTAAACAACAAAATGTCCTCAAATGGGTGCCGCAGGTAGTGAAAAGGGACAATCAAATACTCGAGTGACCGAATAGCGTGAAGATGCGCGCACTCTAGCTATCGAAATTTCAGAGAACGCGGTATAGACCAGACTCAGCCTATGGATGAGTTTCTAGTCCATAGGGAGTCGACCGTGGCCTTACCCAAGGTGTTGGAGGTAGAAGTAGCTTTTTCTGGCTCATTCGCTGTCGGCCGTTAGGCATGGTGTAAATTACGAATGGGGAGATGTGATATTTGAGCCAGAGTAGGCTGGTCATCGTGCATTTGGATCAGGCGTTTTTTCGCTTGAGCCACAAATCCCGTAGTTTGGCATGTGATTGCGAGTACTAAAGGTCACCTGAGAACACCGGAATACGACCTGTCCTGGTTACAGGACAAACTACGAGGCGATAGAGGACGCTCATGAGCAGCTGAATAGCAGTATTCAGTCGGTTATCACTACCAACTACCCGAACGGCGGGGTAGGCACAGGGACGATGACTTGCGCACTACTTAATATACTGTGCGAGTGGACTTGCGTTGAGTCGACCACACCCCGCCTCTCCCACCCAGAAGACCAGAGGCAGGATCGGGTGCCGGTGGCCGATACGGCAGGAGCCTGGGCCGGGGCATGCCACCAAACCCCTGTGTATGGTATTTGCTATTGATGTGCAGTCCAATAACGCGTACCGAACCCTAGGCTGGCTCCTGTGTTGATCCAGCGCATCTACCGCGCGACGCCTTGTAGGGGCATAGTCGTCGCTATCAAAACATATATTTCCGCCAAGAGAAGCTGTGGCATACCTGCGTCCACTATCAGCTACAAAAACCATCGACTGGGTCCTACAATTGTCTGTAATTAGCTAGGATGTAACAGAATGCTCTCCACTTAGTTCACTTCTCTTTGACAGAATACACAAGGAGGAACTGGAAAACATGTGTAGTCCAACAGTCACCATCAGTGGTCGAAAAAAACTATCTGAACCGCACTGTTCGACAATAAATGAATGAGAAGACAAGACCCACTCTGTCGCTCTCTTCCCCCCCCCCCGTCAAGTCTCCTGAAGACCGCTTACCTTGACACCGTTGAGGATCCAGCCATCGCCGTGCTTGCGGGCGTGCGTTGAGGCGGCCCCAGCATCGCTGCCATTGTTGGGCTCACTTAGGGCAAAACAGCCCACACGATCGCCATCCAGGAAGGGCAAGATAAACTCCTCCACCTGCTGGCTGCTGGCGTACTTTATCAGGGGAGCCAGATAGAGCGAGTTATTAACTGAGAGGATGCAACCAACGGAAGCACAGCCGCGACTAATTTCTTCCATGACGATGGCGTAGGCTAGGTAATCACTTCCGCTGCCGCCGTAGCGTTCCGGCACTAACATCGACATGAGACCCAGTCGGCCGAGTTTCTGGATCTGTTAAAAAAATACTGGGCTGCTTTAATAGTTTACAAAAAACACACTCATTAATGTAAACGTGGTTCACATACTGTTTGTCAATACCAAGCCCACATAGAAAGATATTAGTAGATTTACAGCCATATGAAACGAGCACTACCACTCTCCCTAAGTGGCAAAACCGCCAATTTTAAATTTGCGAGCATAGCGCAAGGGATAGGAAAGTCCAAGTTCCAAATTAGAGCCTCTTTTTCAGACCTCGGTTTGCGTCTTTGAAGAGCGAAATATTCTAAGTCAAGGGAATCCTTAACCGGGCCCTAACTCGGGTGACTTTTACATTTGTGTCAAATCATGAACCCCTATCAACACTGGGCGGGAAAACTGAACAAATTAGGATGACCTTAGTATCAGTATCAGTGTATTTTTTCGGTATTCGAAGTGAAAGATAGGTCCTAATCAGAAAACCAACCTATGAAATGAGATTTATGTTTAGTTTGAAGCAAACACTTAGACGAGAAATATGTCTCTGTAACATCCAAAGGTGTGTAAAAGATGTATCCACCAATATCCCAAACTATTTTTGTGAGTTTTGATAGTGTTGCTAATGGACGAAACTATAAAGACGCTTCATCGTAGACGCCAGAAGAGTTCATCTGAACTGAACGTGTAGGAAACGCTGTCCGCTTATGTGAATCTGGGTTAAGCTTTGAAGATACTTTAAAAGCGTCACAGTTCCTAAACCTCTTGTGTTCAACCTTTAAGCCTCTACTACTCTGGGCTAAAATCGCTATATCAACCTTCAATTTTACACATGTGATCCTGTCTGATCCAGCCAGCCTTAATTACAGCACGCGTTTAACATTTTTTATGTGACCCTCTAAGGTAGGGGATCTGGAGAGCTGGAATCATTCAACTTTCCATCAACGAAGACCACCAGCCCAAGAACCATCTTCATGTATTGACGGGTAATGCAAAGACAGGTTTCGAGCTGGTATCCTCTTTATTTCCTCCAATGAGGCGGCGAAGTCGGCTCAAGATCACATGTGGCGGGTGACAATAAACGTACCTGGGTCTGAGCTGTCCCCATGGTGTTGCAGCGAGTGCGGCCTGTCTTATTTGCAAAACTGGTGTACTCATCTAGAAGAACGGCTCTCAGACAACTTGGGACAGGCCTAGACACAGTGATGGTTAATCCAGCTGTTGGCATGTAACGGTGGTGGAAGTCAACTGCGACATGAGCGCACTCAGGATAGTCGTGTACCAGAAACAACAGTGCTACCAGGCTTCAGATGGCCGGGACCAAACAAGCCGACTGCCTTATAAATTACCGTAAACCTTGCTAATACCAGCGAGGCATGGCAACCCCGAACTGTCATTAAACGAGCCTGCTCGTCCATGGTACTCGGCTGTCCGGTCAAAATGTCAGGGGGTGCAACCCAGAAAAGCAACCCAAGCGATTGTTAGGAGCGGATAGTGACGGAGGATTAAAGATTATCGACCGGGCTGTTAATGCGGCGTCTGCAACCGAAGCGTGCTTTACCAGCGAGATGACGATAAGTAAGAGATACTGCCCGTTTTGAAAAACACATTACGACCGCTGTCGAGTGCGGTTTGATCCATCGAAATGTCATATGTAGCATGAAAACCGTCACTGGGTGATTTTAGTATTATGGAGAGAATGAAAGATATACGTCACGTTAGGGGATACGGGTGAATTACTCGATTACGTACTTTATGCATTTGAAATGGGAAAAATACGGCCAAAACTGCCTGCCACCGAGATAAGTAAATCAGCTCACTACTTCCTACAAGGCATAGGCAAACAAATCTATCTGATGGAGGATTAATTGAAAACAAAAATACAACAGCATAAGCCCAAAATCATTAACATCTGCCCTGCAAAGCAAATGTATTAACCACAAAGGGCGTGGGTAACCTCACTACAATCGACTTGAATTTTTTTCGGCTGTTGTATTTTGTGTCATTCGCGGTCGGCAAAAGGCATTTGCATGGCATGAGTGGCAGAGGTGAGGTTTCTTCTCCAAGATGGTTGTTTCGGTTTTCGATTAGATGCCGAATTGCAAGGGGAAATAATGCATCCGCTGACAGCTCCCTGTACAGATTGACTATACATGTTGAATAATAGTTGACGCTCTGTTTGCTATTCAGGCTACAACCTAACTGACACCCAGTGAATATGTTTGATGAATAAATTAATCAGGTGGATAATTTACTGCAATTAACCGAGTGCCAGTGACGACGGAAACGGTGGAGGAGGGGAGGTAAGGAGGCTAGTACACCATCATCATCCTAGTTTGGACAGCAACTGATGAAAGCACTATTGCTGTCTCAGACGATAGCGTTCTTGCCAGCTGGTCAGGCTGCGTGCGGAAAGTTCTAATTTACGCTAAGTAAACTGCCGATAATTTTTAGGGACATGTAGGGAGAGGCAGCGATTTGTAAGTCCAGGTACGCATGTGTTGCACCTCATGAGGCAACATGGGGCTTCCTGCGCGCGTGTTTGTATTAGCCTTGGTCGCACTATACAGTCAGTGCAGGTTCCAGCGTATGCAATGAAAGCAGCAGTGTGTTTATTAAAAATCACTAGAGAGTAAAGTCTGATTGTTATAAAACTATGTTTGCGGTAAAGTCGCGTGAGAATGTACTATAACCATGATTTTAAGGGCCAATTCTTGACTTACCTTTTTCCTAGGATACTTGTGAGTCTTATCAAAGTGACCGGCGTTCGGCAGGAGCTCCTTTTCGGCAAAATCTCGACATGTTTGTCGAATGTTCTGATGGAGCTCGGAGAGATCACTTATTGTAAAGCGTCGAGTTGGTGGAGAGAACTGGGGACCTGAAAAAAAGTCCATTCAGTTTGTCGGAAGTAAATGACCTATCAAGTCCTGAGATCATGTATAGCAAATCTGTATACTTCTTTTTCTGTCACTGACAATAAATTTGAAGACTGTGGGTACCCTATGGAAATTCGGTATCGATGACAGGGCGGGTGATGTAAACGTTGTCGTCATAATTTTTAAAGGCCATGGAAATAAATTTGCAGGTTTCGTACAGCATGAAAGGGCTAGGTTAGAAGTTCCCATCTGCATTCACATAAACTAGCCAAAGAGAAGCATTCACATTTCCTGCAGAGCAGTGAGAAACTTCATCGACCTTGCCCAATTTCAGTGGGACCTTTTAGCAAATGTCGAAATATCACTTTAAAAAAAACTGTCTGGCTTTAAAAAGTGACCCGTGAGAAAGAGCGTGGCGGGTGGAAAACGTTTAGGCAAAACTTTCAGACCTCTTGAAAAGCAAATTCTCGCGTAGCTTAGTTGCCTGTATCAACCAATTCTGAAATCAAAGAGTCAGATTTTTCGTTCGCAGACCCGAGTGCCGGGATTTCAACGGGTAGCCCCCTCCGAAAAAATATGTTTTTTTCGGAGGGGACTACCCGAAGCTACAAGTAGCCTTTCTATAGAAAGGCTACTTGTAGGAATCCTACATTATTGTTTCTATAGAGTGGCACACGGGCAAAACACCGATCATTAATTTATTGCGAAAACTCGAGCATTCAAGAAATAATGGACAAAAAAATCGCCTCGAACGGATCAAAACAGCTTGGCCCAGCTCTTTGGAAAGAGCCACGTGTTGGCAAGGAAGCTGCAAAGACCAAGTGGTCTTTGCGGCCTAAGACGCTGCCACCAATAAATAAGTAGCAAATTTTAATGCTACGCCCAACTGTAGCAAATTTAGCCGGCGTGTGGCGCATTTTGGACGAATCTCTCCTTTTCTGTAGTCACCACAAGACCTTCAAATATCCTGCGCAGGATATATTGTAAATATAAATTAAGCTTTTTAATAAACAGATTACAATACAACGTCGCCAGTGTACCTATGGGTAATCGGGGGGTAATAAACATACGACAAGGAATGGATGGGGGGTAGAAAAGGGCATTGGGATAAGCAAACGATTCCACGCGTAGCATATTAACCCCCCCCCCTTTTCGCCGATAGCGTGGTATCTCGATTAATCGATATCTATGTTTGCGTCAAAATAGATATCTACTCGATGTAGTTTGCTACTAGGGTGCCCGTTTCCATTTGTCCATTAGACAAAGGGGAGATCGAGAAAACACGACCGCATAAAACTCGTTAAGGATTGATTTAAATTACCATGCGCAGCAGTTCTGCAGGCAAAAACTCCTCTCCGAATCAACTGTCGCAGCGTAACGTCCATTGAGTGCAGCTCAACCAGCTGACCGGGATACGCCTAATACAAATAAGAGCGCACCCCTTCGAAGGTTTATTTTAGTCTATACAAAGCAAACTTCAAGGTCAGTCAGGAAGTCACAGGTTGCCATTCAAAAAATTTCATTAACAGTGAAAAGGGCAGGGACATGACTATTTCATGCGTGTATGCCGTTACCAGTAGACCATTTCTCAATCTCAGACTGCATGCTTGAGATTTCAACGAAAGAGCTTAATGCGCAGTTTTAGTCATTGAACTACGAACACTTGGATATATCGTTGCCCGAAAAGAAACAGATGCGATTGCTTAGGCGTAAGACTTATTCGCCTGACATTGCAGGTTTATCCCAGAACCAAGCATCAGATAAGATACTTGATAAGGATAGGTAATACACAAGGGTTTGCGGTATTCATGGGATACTGTCATTATACCACCGCCTACTTAGGAAAACTCACAACCGCACACTTTTCGTTATAATTCAATATATATTTATATATAAACCCTGTCAGCAACGGCCCGCTGAATCCGTTTAATTCCCGCGGGCCTTCATGCGTCGATATGGGGCTATACATGGGTTGAATTGGATGCTGTGTCGGGGTTATCGGTGCCTCTGCTCTCTATGGCCCCCTCACACCGAAAAATGCGCAGTGGGGCGTCTTTCCGCCTTTCCACGTCCCCTTTTAAAATAAGGACCTTGTCCCCCCCCTCATGATTATGTCTTCTGCATGGCGCAGTGTAGCCCAGCATCCTCTCATGTTACCCAAACGTATGTAGACGTCCTAGGGCATCCGCGCTTAACATCTCCATTACGGTATCGGACAATGAACGCAATAAAATGAAAGAAAGTGGTTTATTGGTGACAAAAAAACCAGCAGAAATATAAGGAAATTGTGCTCAATCGTAGAAATTATCAGTCATTGTGTAGTAAAGTGTTTGGTGTCTGCGGCAGGTCACAAAAAACAGAGGGCAATAAATGGATCGGCTAAACAATAAATAAAAGAAAGGATAGTTAAGTTAGACTGATGAACTAGAAAAGTACGCAGTGTAATAGCGCGCGGTTTGAAATACGCAATAAAAATTATGTCAACACGCTCAATGATGACAGTGCTTGACCATTATTATTTTGTCGCCGCAGAAGTTTTGCTGGAATAAAAAATAATCCCCCAGTCAAAAAGCATAACACCTACCATAGTATAAATTTTAGTAGGCAGTAAAAGTAACAAAAAGGATTACATCGTTTTAAAATGGTAAGTTTATTGCAAATGTTATGATTACCGACAGTATATTACATTAAACCCTTAAAATGAGATAAAAATTACAAAAAAATTACTCGAACAATTTCAAGTAACGACATAACCAAAATAAATAATGTTTTCTTCTATCCCCAAAACTCTTCTATGGCATTGAATATATACCTTATTACCTAACACTATATTAGTTGTAAACACGATGTTTATGTTAACATTAACTGCCAGGTTATAAATCGGACTTATAGTGTCCTCGGATGCAGATGATTCTGAAAGGAGTACGCTTTCGGCGGTTCCTTTTGAAAACTAAATGTACTGTTGAGAACAACGTGTATATATTAGGATAGATGGGCGCTTGCTGATTAGTTTACGGAACGTGTAAATCCCTTTGTGCCTTGGGGCTCAAATTGGAACCCTCGCAAGCAGTCGAACAGCGACTGGCAGTATACGTAGATGAGATGGTGCCGGCAAAGACAAGGGAGACCGAAATGGCCCTTTCTGGCTTATTGGCTGTCATTAGCCAGTCCAGCTGGGGATCACTTGAGATTCGAACCCGGAATCTTTGGTCATGGAGCTCGACACTACCATTGAGCTAGGAGCCCGTTGCCTTGTGAGTTATGTTCAGTATAATTCAGTATATATGAGGGATAGAGGCAGAACCTTGGAAAACCCTATTGACAGATAGACGTATGAAAAAAACATGCAGATATTTACATAGCAGTTATGCCAGTCATTGATAGCATGTAAATGTTTGACCATCAAGCATAAGTTTATCTAGTCTTCTTTTGAAAGTCTCGATATTTCCCGCTAAGACAACGGAGTTCGGCAATTTGTTCCATCCCCCAACCAGCCGGTAAGAGAAGAATGTTTCGTCTTCAATTTGTATGGGTGCCCTCGGAGATTTGTCGTCCGTGCCAGTTCGAAGAAGTCGTCAAACTGAAGAGCACAGTCTAGCCCTCGGACGATCCTGAAGGCCATGATCATGTCCCCTCTGTACTGTCTATAAGAGAGAGGAAATATTTTTAACTTCTCCAGCCGCCTCTCATAAGGTAAGCCACATAATCCGCCGACTAGCCTGGTCGCTCTACGTTGTACGTTCTCCAGTAGGGTTTAATCTTTTTTCGTCCAGGGACACCATGCCTGGACACGATATTCCAACAGTGGTCGAACGTATGCGCCAAATACTCGGCCGAAAAGTTCTTCATCAAAATTGACGAAGGATCTCCTAATCGCACCTAGAATACCCATAGCTTTCTTTGATAGCTTGGCGCAGTGAGACGATGGTTTGAGAGTTGACGTCATCCACACACCGAGGTCTCTTAACTTGTTGACTGATTCGAGTTGGCGACCTCCTATAAAGTTCTGAGATTCAAATCTCAACCGCATTCCTGTTGCTCGAACGTAATCGGATAAGTTGGCATTTGTTACGATTGAGGCTAAGACACCACTCATCACACCATTTTTCAAGCGATTTAAATTGTCTTGTAATTGTACAGAATCTTCCGGCTTCTCTATTGATTGCCACAATTTGAGATCGTCGGCAAACTTTACTCGCTCGCATTTCAGACAGTCCAGGCAGTCGTTCACATATATTAGGAACAGAACTGCACCCAGAACGCTTCCCTGCGGAACGCCACTGTGCACGGATGCCCATTCCGATTTAGCGTTTCCGATACACACACGCTGAGATCTGCCCGTAAGAAAATCGGCCAGCCATTTCAAAAGATTTCCGTTCACACCCACTTGACGTAGTTTACATATAAGCCGTCTGCGTGGAACACTGTCAAAAGCGTTTTTGAAGTCGATGTACACGGCGTCGACTGATAAGCCCATGTCAATTGATTTCGTCCAGCTCTCCATGGGTACTAGGAGGTTGGTGAGACAAGATCGACCGCTTCGAAATCCATACTGATGTAGACTGAGCAAGTTGTTTTCTTCGAGGTGCCGCATCAGCGAGACGTGCTAGCCCGAAGAGATCAACATTTGGGGTTGGGTATGACTGGTTAATGACAGCTTATAATCCAGAAAGGGCCATTTCTGTCTCCCCTCTCTGTTGGTACCGTCCAATCTACCTATACCAATAGTCGTTGTGTGACTGCCTGCGAGGGTTGTGGTTTGAGTCCCAAGGCACAGTCGGACCAACGCGTCCCGTAATCTATATTTATATGGCGAACGTATTATATCATACCTTCGTACTCTCGTAGCCCTGGAAATGATGATGTCCCAATTATCATTCTAAAATCGGATGCAAATGTAATCTTCCTACCCCTTTTATGGAAGCTACTTAATCTTGCCCTTCAAAGTGAAACCGCCTTTAATGTTTTGTCCAGCAAGCTGTACTCGAATGTCAATTTGAGACCTGACACTTGGAGACTGTTCTAGTTTATTCCTGCTGCGTTGAAGTTGCACATGTTCATGGTGTTTGGTCGACTAGAAAATTTCTTCAACTGCTTCAAAAGATGGGTTTCGGCGATTTGGTCTGTCATGGGAGGTCGGTAGACAGTGGGGACATCATTACCCAGGCGCTGGTTTAGTAACTGAAACATGGGCAACAGCTTCCATAGTTAACTCCAAACTCTTTTGTCTAGTTTATGCATGCATTTGAAATGATCGTCAAGACTGTCGTGGTAGGGAGAGCCATATCTAGGTTAAGATAACATTTGCATTTCTGCCGCTGGACCTCCCACATTTTTCAGCGATAGGAGGCACTGTTGGCTCCAAGTTGTTTTGAAAAATAAGTTCTGTACTAATTGTCTGCGTCTATCGCCCATCCAAGGCCAGCGAAAATTCTGGTCGTTGCCGCGCCCGATCAGTTCCTGCTGCGGCCGAAGTAGGCTATAGAATTTGTTGGTTACAGGTGACTCTAGTCTCCCTGAAGTCCGCAGATCTCCGTCCTCTGGTGATAACAATAATAATAGCAGTAATAACAATAATTGTACTTAAAGCCAATTTACAGGAACAGTCAAAGAAAAATAAAGCAAAGATCGGGATGGCAGTGAAAAAATCCATATGAATAAATACAGAGGGGGTGTTTGATTGCACTTTGGATGGTTTAGGACAAAAAAAACTGCCGCCCGTAAAATGACCGTGGCCCAGAAGAGGATCAGTGAAACTGCATCGGATATTATCAGTCAACATTCTTTCTCGAAAATGGAGTAATGGCCCAAACAGAGCATTGAAGAACCGCTGTCCGCTGGCCACTAGAGAAATTTTCCGTGATGAGACCGGCCAGGGACTCAGAGATTTAGAACTCCGTCAGAAATATAGACTAAATCGATGGATTCAGCACCCGAGATATGTGGGATATTTTCTGAATGGAAAAACGAAAAATGGTGTTCTTAAACGAAGAATAATTTCGCAGAATTTTCACATTTCAGGATAATTTGTACCAAATTACGATTGCATTAACGGAAAAGAAGCCACGATATATAACGGAACGTGCCAGAGGAATAAAAAGCATCTTGACCACTCCGACGTAATTGTGGGTGACAATTACGTCGGAGTGGTCAAGATGCTTTGGGGACTATCAGGACGCAGTGCACCGAAAGATTAAGAATCTTGGAGTACAATATATCCAGATTCTGGCCCAAAAATACAAAGGCTTACTTGGGAAGTCTGATTGTCGATTTTCCCACCTGAGGATTAAGCATACCTGACCTAATTTTCTGTAGAGACTTCATGCTTCTTTCATCGTCATCCCTGGGCCTCATCGGGAACTCAGACGATGACATACTTGTTTCT